CCCTGCCCTTGTTCAAGTACATGTAGTACCTTCGCCAATATGGCTCTTCCTGCAATGCTATCAGGGACGAGGGTAATCTCAGTGTAGAAACTAGTTCTGGAGCGTCGGATGAGGTGCGGCTGTACGTTGTACCAGGTAAGAGTAAATAACCTTGGGTGTACCATACCATGGGCACTATCATGGTTGGGGAAAGGCAGGATAGTTCACGTTCAATCACTCATTGGTTTAGTATTTGTCTCGACTTCATGGCTAGATTCCAATGGTGGATTGGTGCGGCCCTCGGGGTTCCCTCGCAAAGATCTCCAGTAGTACTACGAGTGGTAGGGTGAACCATGCAATTTTCATGTGAGTTCTCCCAGATCTTGACCGCCATGATTCTCTGAAAGGCGATCATCACTAGTTCTAGATTGTAAGCGATTGACAGCAATACCCCCAGGGACGGGCGGTTATGAGCAGTTGATTTTTCTCGTTTGTGCGACCCAGCTTCAGGCCTTCCTCCTCCTCCCGGATATGCTGAGTTTGGTAAATGTAAGGGAAACTTGAGCCGAGGAAATACAAGACCGTTCTCTTTCAAAGGAACCGACTCGAATGCCTTCAAAAAGGCGAAAGGCAATCGCCGTTGTCGGCCGAAATAGCACTGCAAACTTGTTGAGGAACTATCACCTTGTCTTGATCTTGTGCTACAAGGCTTGTCCCTGGCACTCTCTGTGCAGCCGTTAAATCTAATGAGACTAGGCTCGATATGATCGTTGATTCGATAGATACTGAAGAACCAACGACGTCTTCACTGAGTGGAAACAGATGCCTGTAGCCGCCAGATACCCATTGTTTCCACGCACGACTTTCCTGTTTGCTTCGCGCTAGTAACTCCGCCAACAGGATGCGCTGTGAGCTCGAGTGCAAGTAGCTGAGATATTGCGCGGGATGTGGCAACTGGGTGGGTGCTGTTGCCACTGTTTCTGCTGTTGCCACTGTTTCTGCTGCTAAGGATGTCGGCGAGAGAAGTGCAGCTACCAGCATCCACTATACCTATCCGAATAGCAGTTATCTTGTCATTTGTCCTTCCTGCCGCCTCCAACACTGATCCTTCCTGCCACCTCCAAAACTAAATTCGCTACCACTACAATCCTAATAGTGAATGCAGCATCCATAGTTCCATACGGCTACATGTGCCAAGAGCAGGCACGGTTAGCTGACTCCAGCGCAGGTCATAGTACAGTCATGTAGATTCCACATGTTACGAAAAGCGTGACCACAGATGCAAGTCAGTTCACAGTCACACACTATTGCCGTAGCACTGTGAACCAATACCGCATCGTTAAGCATGTACACTGTCAGGAGGGATCACTTCGTTACTCCTCACTTATTGCCCCGCGCTAGAACAATGTTTTACTCTTTTGCTGACGTTCAACCCTTCAGACCGTGAGGTGCCACAGGAAGAGCAACCAGAATCGCACGATATTCACCTGGTGAACAAAAGGTCACCAGCATGATCAATTTGGAATTCTCGCTCCAAACTGCGTTCGACGCTTTTGCTGTTCTTCTGTCCTTTGCTCCATGTAACACAAGGACAGCGACAACGCTTCAAAGGTGACCGGGGCATCTAAATAGGCGGCGTGTAATCATTAAATGACCAATTCTACTGCCGAGTAACGGCCTGGTATCTAGTCTACGAATCGTACACGTATAGTTCAAGACGATCGTTTATCACATCCTCGAGACTTTTTAAAGGGGAAGTATACCCTAAAATCAAATTTTCACCAGTTGTAGTCTTCGGGGTGCTGAGTCGAATGGTCTTGGTCCGAGGAAGCTGAGACGCTCCCTTCCTACTTGAATCCCAATCGAACTCGCGCACTTCCACCGAAACTGGGTGACTGCGCCCTACTAGATGGGGATTTGTATGCAAAATGTCACTAAAAGCGCCATTTCGTTCTTATAAAAGCACGGATGACCGCGATTGGCCCATATGTTGTAGTCTTTTGGACGCTGAGTCGACTGGTTTTGGTCCGAAAAGGCTGCGATGTAGCGTTCCTCCTTTATTCCCAATCGAACATGGTTGAACAAGCGGTCACGTGCTCCTGCGTACACCAGTCAGCTGGTCACCGTGCCTGCAGGGTACAACTTACTAGCCTGTTTGACCTTTTTTGGGTGCAGTCCTGTCACTCGAGTTGAACTCGAGTTGAACCTTGGTGTGAAAGTTGTCGCCTGCTGGCGCGGTGACCAGGTGATTTGGGCACCCAGGAGCACGTGACCGCTTGTTCAACCATGTTCGATTGGGAATAAAGGAGGAACGCTGCATCGTAGCCTTTTCGGACCAAAACCAGTCGACTCAGCGTCCAAAAGACTACAACATATGGGCCAACCGCGGTCATCCGTGCTTTTATAAGAACGAAATGGCGCTTTTAGTGACATTTTGCATACAAATCCCCATCTAGTAGGGCGCAGTCACCCAGTTTCGGTGGAAGTGCGCGAGTTCGATTGGGATTCAAGTAGGAAGGGAGCGTCGCAGCTTCCTCGGACCAAGACCATTCGACTCAGCACCCAGAAGACTACAACTGGTGAAAATTTGATTTTAGGGTATACTTCCCCTTTAATATGTTCACCTATTCTGGTGGTGTATTTGACAGGCCATGTCCATCACAGAACGAAATTGGCGTCTCTAAATGGACCGAAAGGCTCCGCGTGTCATCCCAATCGCTATCGGTCAGACTTAGTGCAGCGCTGCTATTATCCTTTAGTATGGTACCTATGAACTTATAAAATAAACCTGTGACTTTGTATAGTGGGGAGAGTGGGGTTGCCAAGATCAAGACCGCTCATGTCAGAGTACGTCTATCCAATAATAGATACCAGCTCTTCCGGCGTGCGATCACGGCCCGAGTGAGAGGCGACTTGGCTGTCACTGAAGTTACTGTGGACTCGATGGCAAGTAGTCCCGAAGTACAGTAAATCCTGAATGAATCTCTCCACCGTTGCCGTATTCTGCATTGGAAGCTTTTTGCCCAGAGAACGCCCTTCATTATGTAAACGGAAGGGTACACGCGGCACTGGGTCGCATTCAGCAGGATGATGGGTGAACAGTAATCTATCTTCTTTCCTTGGGTTTGCGTCATTGGTTTGCCAAAGGAGTAGGGATGCTAGTGCCCCGTGCCACAGTGGCGCCTGGAAATGGTACATGTACTTGTAAACGTGGTTGACGATGCATGTATCATAATTATGCAGGCGCTTGATGGCAAACACCCCATGCTACATGTAAATGCTGGTGTTTTGCTTGATTCGCCGCAGCAACGTTATGATCCTGCGGCTGGGAGAGGGTATGCCACAACAAATAGCGCTTCACCTGCGAGGAAGACTTAGATAATCCAACCAACTTGCGAAAGGAGTTCCATAACTATTCCATGTGCAATGTCGTTATGTGTGGGTGATTGGCTGTGACTTGTACATTGATATGCTGGGCACAATAGAACAAGGCGATGTCCAAAGAGGGATGGGAAAGGAAAGGACATAGGGAAAAATCCAATGGGAGGAACGTTGTTAGCTCGATGGCGGCCCGCTGGCAGGACGGTACAATTGGGATAACTGAGATTTTGTTTCGCTTGCAACACCTGTTTCCAGATCATTATTGGCTGAAGCTGACTTTGGAGATCGATCTGAGGTGAAAAGGGATCGGATGCGCACGAGGTAGATTTGTAATCCCAGCTCATCGCGTGTCATGTAGGGTGTCATGTTTGCGTGTTCGCCTAGTTGTGATCCAGGCCTGCAAGGAGGAAATCTCAGATTTCGCCGACCGGATCGTTTCTGATTCTACTCTCGATTGTGACACCTGCATAATCATGATAAATACTATACCCCGCTGTCTGTTGATTACTCATTGTAAATGAGCCCTCGACCTTTACTATGCTAGTTTTATTTGCAGCCGAGTGCACTCTTGTTTGAAACGCTCTGCCACTACAGGCAGTCAACAATTTGACCAGAAAGGTAATCCTGAGTTGATACTAGACTGCATTCCACCAATGCTTATGAGTGATGGTACAGTGTAGATATAATCATGGGATACAATGTACTTCGGCGGTCCAGATATCCTGGTAATTATACTATAGTAGTCTGCATTTCTCTCTTTCTCTTTCACTCTCTTTCTTTCTTCCCCCCCCCCCTCTCTCTCTCTCTCTCTCTCTCTCTCCCTCTCTCTCCCTCTCTCTCTCTCTCTCTCTCTCTCCCTCTCTCTCTCTCTCTCTCTCTCTCTCTCTCTCTCTCTCTCTCTCTCTCTCTCTCTCTCTCTCTCTCTCTCTCTCTCTCTCTCTCTCTCTCTCTCTCCATCTCTCTCTCTCTCTCTCTCCTTCTCTCTCTCTCTCTCTCTCTCCATCTCTCTCTCTCCATCCTCTCTCTCTCTCTCTCTCTCCCTTTCTCTCTCTCTCTCCACCTCTCTCTCTCTCTCCACCTCTCTCTCCATCTCCATCTCTCTCTCCATCTCTCTCTGTCTCTCTCTCTGTCTCTCTGTCTCTCTCTGTCTCTCTCTGTCTGTCTCTCTCTCTCTCTCTCTCTCTCTCTCTCTCTCTCTCTCTCTCTCCATATCTCTCTCTCCATCTCTCTCTCTCCATCTCTCTCTCTCCATCTCTCTCTCTCCATCTCTCTCTCTCCATCTCTCTCTCTCTCTCTCTCTCTCTCTCTCTCTCTCTCTCTCTCTCTCTCTCTCTCTCTCCATCTCTCTCTCCATCTCTCTCCCTCCATCTCTGTCTCTTCATCTCTGTCTCTCTCTCTCTGTCTCTCTCTCTCTCCTCTTTCTCGCGCGTTCTCTGCCTTTCTCACGCCTTTTTTTCATATCTGCCCCGACGCCTCGAAGCTGTTATGGTTCCTACTTCACATTGGCCCATGTCATAAACGTTGCGGAAATATGATCGATGATACATGTAGCGCCACAAATGTCAATCATATGATAACGTCACAGTACTACTGTATGCTTTTAAACAGTTACTGAAAATCGAGGAACACTGTGCACTTACGTTTTACGATCAGGCTCAGTTCGTTGACGTCACTCCCGGCTGTGTTGGTAGCACTGCAGACATAGGTACCCGCGTCACTGGGTATTATGGAGCTGATGGTCAGGTTCACAGAACTGTAACCTTCCACTGTTTCGAACTGGTGGTGCTCGGAGTGCTTGTCGACCTTTCGCCAGTTGACCAGGGGCTCGGGATGACCACTGGCAGTGCAGGGAATATTCACGCGATGTCCAACCACGACCACGTGACGAAGCGAGACGGAGTCCAGGACAGGCAGCACTATAAAGTCGACAGCAACCGCGGGTAAACCACGCAGTCATGTTATGATATCGCCATTATCGGTAAAGAGAAGCAGTTGATATACCCAGTGCAGACTGTATGTAACCTCTTTCGTACTTTCATCGTCTTTACATGACTCCAGCACTCACCCTAGTCACGATCAATGCATGTGCATGTGAACAGGGCCGCCAGGGAGTCGTAAAATACGGTAGGTAACGACTCCCTAGATCCCTGGCGTTAACATACATCCTAGCAAGTACACAACTGTGAGCCTTGCTTGATAGTTCAACATGTTTCAGGATAACAGCAATCGTCGCAAGACCGGGACTCTACCAACCAGCGTATGGATATACATGTAGTCAGGAACACTGTTCCCAACACACGTGTCCTCCGCCTTGTGACCTGCTCAGTGTTATCCTCAAACATGCTAGCAATACAAGTGTGGTGGGCGTTATCAGCCAGCTGGGGTAAGAGAGGGAGGGAGGGGACACATACAGGGAACATTGTTATCATAGATGGTGGGCCTCAGGATACGCCAACTCTTCACTGGCTAGACTGTGTAGGTAGTCTGTACGAGTTTCGTATTTTTTGACATTGTGAACTTTACTCCTCTAGGAGACGACGTGTATTTCACGCATGTATGGGTTATTTCACGTTTATTAGCCGCGTGTATGGGTTAGTCCATGTGACATCTGTACATGGGGTCCTCGCCGGTGGTAGTGTATCGTACAGTTCCAGACCTGCGCCTATTCCATCGGCACGATTGTATTCATGTCAAGAATGGCGTACCATGACTGACTGTGTCAGATCACGGGAGGGCCCTGGCATGCATGTGCCGCCCGTGGGGTAACTAGGGTTCCAGCCGGGAATAACCCAGTAGTTGCCTGTGTTCGTGGCAGCGTGACCGGTAACCGTGACCTGGGCTCGGGCAACTGTAACCCGGGAGGGGGGGGGGGCTGTAACGCGAGAAAGCCTCCGTCACACTCACAACTTCACACAAGCATCAACTCCGCAAGCTGAACTCGAGTCCAATGGGTGTGATCACCAGTGTTCGCGCAATCCGTGCCCTTAGTGCAGGTTCCTTTCTGCATTCTATTTCTAGTGTCACAATTATTATGACTGTATACTCTGTGGCAGTTAACGATTAAGCTGACTACCTACCTTGCAATTGCAACCATGCTCTCTGTCCTGATACGTGGCACGCGTAGCGACCACCATCGCTACTCGTCACAGCATTCAGCGTCAGACTAAACGTCCAAGGAGCTTGACGCTGCTGCTCGTGTGTGGCAGGGGTCAGTTCAGCTAGCGACCATCTCAGCCGGGCACTGGTACTGGAAGAGGTCAGCCGCTTTCCATCACGTGACCAGTACACGTCACCGGGTTGCTGGTTGCTAGCGGTAGAGGTATTGACCTGCAGGCCTTGCTGTATCGAGCAGAGAAGCTGGAGTCGGGAGGTTTGCCTTGCTGGTAGGGGAGACGAGGAGCTAAGCGTTCGCGGCGAGTTCCAGTCCAAAGCATATTTGAGTGTTGGCCTGGCAGTCAGTCCTGTTAGCAGAAAACCGATCACATAACCTGAACATATCGGTCAAAGATCATCCGATCCCCCTCCGACAGCTGCGCTGCCTTTCATGTCAGCATTATGGCGGTCGACCCCTCTATGAGTGGATGGATTGGGAGGGTTTACAATGCGTCGAACTACTGGGCACTTTAATGTCATCAATGATATCATTATAGATGGCCCGTTGAAGTGTTGGATGGGGCATTTACGGTCCGAAGCACTGTTCAAAGATAACGATGTAGCTTGCACAGACGGAGGAGGAGAGGGTGTGGGAGTGTGGGAGTGTGGGAGAGAGAGAGAGAGAGAGAGAGAGAGAGAGAGAGAGAGAGAGAGAGAGAGAGAGAGAGAGAGAGAGAGAGAGAGAGAGAGAGAGAGAGAGAGAGAGAAAGAGAAAGAGAAAGAGAAAGAGAAAGAGAAAGAGAAAGAGAGAGAGAGAGAGAGAGAGAGAGAGAGAGAGAGAGAGAGAGAGAGAGAGAGAGAGAGAGAGAGAGAGAGAGAGAGAGAGAGAGAGAGAGAGAGAGAGAGAGAGAGAGAGGTATCCTTTGTGCACATACCTCAATCAGTCATCACTCTGCAGAATGATACCATGTAGAATGCACAAGATCAGACTCAGTGTGTGCTTTGGAAAAACTAATAATAATTATTGAATCAGTTGCAGGCTGCTCCATGTCACACCTCACGTTCTACCCCGACAACACGTGCTAAAGCAAGACATGACCCCATTAGTGTAATGTCCTAATGCAATTTGTCGCGTCTCATCATCGGCATCATGCTGGCTGGTTCGTAGCCTCGCTGCACACGCACCACTAGCACATGTTTGTGCTGACATGCAGGCCACATTATCATAATATCATTGCTTTGGTGACCTTAGTCTTAGATACTCACCCACACTGCACAACGGATGACAAAACGGTGAAACTGGCACATTTTACAAGTACTTTTCGTTTTCCTTGAACCCTTTACAAAATCTGGTCTGCCCAGTGATTGGCTTGCGGTATGCCTATTTCGTCGAGATAGCATTTGTTGTTGCCACCTATGCAGTGACTTTGCATACTTTGAGCTACACCGGAGTGTGTGCTCATAGAAATGATAGGCACTGGTCTATCATTGACCACTGGCTTACGTATCAAGGAAGCCACACCGGAAAGCAGGCTTCAGCGCTTGGTTGCTATCCATGGTGGAACCCACACACCACATCACCACATGCTCCACCACTAGGATAACACTTGTATCCACTGGAAACATCCGTATGATGTACATCTCATGTGCATGTAGGTTTACCCACCTGTAACCTTCAAGAGGTGCATTTATGGTCTCCGAACCTTGACAGCGGAACAGAACTCTAGATTGGAGTTTAAATCCCTGGTCAGAGTCAAGGGCACATTGCGGACTTCCAGCGTGTGGACTACTAGTATCCACCTTGGTGCGCATCAAAAGCACAGCTTGGATGTGCACTACACTGCGGACTCACTGCTATGGAAGGTATTGTTGGGCATAGTGCCTGGCCCGCTTGTGCCTACACCAAAAATCCAATGGGGGACTTTACCTGCTTATTCCTTTCAACAGTATTCACAACGCACTGTCCGCTACTTCCGAACATTACAACCTTCCCTTCAGTACTCTTGCAATACTGAAGACATCCGTCTCTGAACGCTTTACTCGGAACACTAAAACATCTCTCTACATGCATGCACCCAGGAGCTTACCATTGTAAGACAAGAATATCAGTATGCGGCGATGACCCATCATGTAACGTCGGGAAACTTACCATTCTCAGCGTGACTAAGTACCAGTAGTACCTGCGACACGCAAACGATGCACGTCCAAGTCCTATCCATATCGCCTCCGTCCTTTGGTTTCCTTTTTAAGCCACGCACTCTGCATCCAACACCTTTCCAATGTCAGCGCGCACCAGAGGTAAACTAGACGCTGGCAGAGCTTTTCAGTCTGATCTGCTTCTTCCTAGGTGCGGTGCAGTTTTCAACAGGGGGCAACGCTAGCTCCCCTGGCTCAACAGCCAGTTGGGTTTAGCACCCCGAGGGTGGCCTGGTGCAGCGTTAGGGCCAACGCATGAGTGCAGTTATCCGTGTGTTCCCCTGACGAGAGTTCTAAATGCTCTCTTTGCCTGAAGGCTTTGGCCGTTCTGACAGCAGCATTCTATAAGTTTAGCGCCATGTACATGTACTGACACACTCTGTGGCTAGATGTCTGCGCAAGGCCAAGGGTGCTGATTGCACTGGTGGGGTCACTTCCGCTAGTCATTCCCTTCACCTGCTTGGCGCAGTGAAGACTGACACCAATGCTGTTGCCCCGTATCCACGACAAAGATTATCATAGCGTCTGGAACAATGGCACTGATCGTTTGGAAGGACACCAGTTTAACCTTAATGATTAGCTACTTCGAGCTTGAGAAAATACCACACACTCGGAGGTGCGTATTGTACAGTGAGAGGTGAAAAATCCTTGGTTTCTTCACCCTAACCCTGTCGGATGCCTCTTGGCTTGGCGCGATGTGCCGTCGTGTGGTGATAAGAGGCCGACAGGGGATGTGTGAAATTTTCTCCTTTGTGATACTGTGCGAATAGGTTATACGGCATTACCGCGCTCGGGTGTTGATCGGCATCTGTCAATTCTGCCGGATAGTACTGCATAAACCCTGGCAGGCCGCACAGCGATGTTTTAGCCTGGGCTATCGGAATTAGATCGCTGTTGTGTAGAGAATCAGTGTGTAAGCAGGGTCCATTGCCGTGATTATAGACCAAGTAAACATCATTGTTTCACACAATGGACTCGGATGGAGAGCCAAGGATATATTTATAGAAAAGAAAAGGACCAAGGAACTACAAGTTTCGCTACAATGTCCACTAACACCACCAGCAGCTATTAAACAATCCGCTCAGTCGGTCAGTGTCGTGCAATGCTATTCCATGAGCTTGTAGTTATTTGGTCCTTATCTTTTCTATAAGCTTGACACAATGCCGTGATCATTTCTGCTTGGAATATCACACGGTCACACAGCCATAACCAATACCAGTTTCCGCAGTTTGATATAGTTGCCTTCTGCGCGTTTCTAGGCGACTACCGGTATTAGCATGCCATGAAACTCTATTGAGACGCCAAGAAGAAGTAGATGAGGCGAGCACAGCGAAATTAATCCAGGGTATGCCGAGGAGAGTTTGACAAGGAGCGAAATTAGCAAAGCTTCCCAAAGAGGGGTTCCACTGCAGGGGCAAAACGAGAGCACTAAAAAGAGAAGGTGAAGGAGATGACACGTTCCAGTTTGAAGCCCTGCACCTTGCTGTCTTGGTTTTGACAGGACAATGCAATGTATACATCCAAGTCCAAGAGCGAGCGAGGGTCACGGTACAACAGACAGTACAAAAACGAAAAAACAAGAAGACTCAAACAACTCCCTACTATAATGATGGTCAGAACCAGGGCTAACAGTAACACCCATACGGTTCAGATGGTTGCAAGACCGGGGCTCTGCCAACCGTGGAGGTTGTAGTCAGGGGCACTGTTTCCGAACACAGCGCGTCCTCCGCCTTGTAACATGCTGTCAACCAACAAGAACCACGAGTGTGCAAGTAAATCGCTTTCTTTTCACCGTGTTTTGTGTATGAAAGTTCCTCATAAGCTTACCAGGTATTTCTGCTATCTCTCCTCCCTTCTCTCACATGACACTGTGTGAGAGGAGCTCTCCTCTCCCATTACATCCCTCGCACCTTTGCCTCCTCAACAAAGTGTAGGTTGTAGTCGTAGAAAGGTAGAATGACTTATTTTAAAGTTAAAACTAACTTTATAAGTAGTTTTCGACCAAACTGGGAATCGCACGGGAAACCTCACTCTTGGAAGAGCACTGCTCAGTTGTGCCTTTTTCTTCGCCTTTTTGTGAGAGCTTGGACAATCCACTTGTCCAGGCAAGAAGGCAGCAATGCCTGTTCATTCTGGCGAAGTAAAAATAAACTATACGAGTACCAGCCAACCAACCAACCTTGCCGATGTTTAGCAGCATCTAACTGCTACCAAGAGGGTGCACATGTAAGCTCCCAGCTCTTGCTGCTACCAAAAGTGTATCACACGCTGTAGCCAGCTGGATCTGTATTTCAGTAGTTGACCTCTGGTTGCACAACTGTATTCCAATACCTTCTACCAAGAGCATAGATGTATATACGGTTTCTTGCTTCCATTACTACATGTACACTTGACTATAAAGTATAATGTAGGAAGTCGCCGGCTACTTTGCAGTCACCAGTGGGTGGAAGAGGCCAGCTCGGCCTACATACATGTACATGTACTACATGTAATAGTCTAGCAGGATACTCTGACGGAATGCGGACGTGATGTGTCCTGTCTAGGGGTAAGCGGATTATACCGGCATAATAGTTGGCATAATCAGGTCCTTTTTGAGAGGGAGCATAAAATGGCATCCAATAAACAAGGGCAGATGCCCAATGAGGCTGTTATACACACCTGCTATTGAAGGCATAATTGAAGGCATAATCCCCCTAGGTCCGATTATTCAGAAATGACGAGACAACTCACCAGCTATTATCAATGAACTAGTAATTTTCACCTTTCTGTAGCGCATCCTATCGATCACAGCTATTGTGCTCTACAGCATTGTTCCTCAAGATTCTAAGCTTTCTGTTTGTCTTTCTCTTTATCATCATCCTGGATGGCACAAGTGAAGTTGGCATCCCCGCTTACATCGCGATAGTGCTTATGATAATAATAATCAGGTCCTTTTTGAGAAGGTGCATAACATGACATCCGACAAACAAGGGCAGATGCCCAATGAGGCTGTTATACACACCTGCTATTGAAGGACCATACATAGCACTTTTAAATTCTTGTCGATTTGCCAATATTTTAGCAGACGCTATAGGACATCTCCCAAAGGTTCAGCGTTTGCTTGTGATTTTGGTACTCCTCTTGCATAATATGCCCTTATTATTATCGTCTTGTCCTTCCACAAAGCTCCCAGTCCACATCTTGATAATGGTCTGAGTCATTTTTTAATGACGATTATCTGTTCGTTTGCCTCTTTTTGGGAAGCATATAAAAGCAAAAAAAAGCCGGGAAACAGTCTCAGCGAATTCGAGTTGGAGACGATCAAGCTCCTCGACAAAGAGACAAAGACATAGAGATTGGATTACCGTACTAAAAGCTGAAGAGGTGGGGCACGAGGACGTGTAGATCTACAGTGAATACCGGTAGTATAGCAGCAAAAGTACACAACAACTAACAGTAGTGTACAAGTACAGCTACATGTACATTATTACAGTATTATTATCCCTTTATTCACTTCTTTCGAAGGCGATAAGCCAGACCCACCGGGAAATATTTCCATGGGTGGGACAGCAAAAATAAAGTGAAAAATAAAAAGCTAAAAACCAAAGGGACAATAAATAGGGGAAGGAAGAGGAAGAAAGGAAAGAAACTCAATCCGAACTCCAACATCAAAACAATACTATAAAGAATTTGCAGCGACAGGCAAAGTACATCAACCAATGAAGGGAGTAACAAAGGAAATATCAGTCTTTATCAGTCGTTATTCAAGTCTCTTAGCTATTGAACATGCAAACGCAGCAGAGGTGCATCTACATGTTAAGGATAGTTCTTAGTATTTTAATCGAACGTTGGATAGCCTCCTGTTGCACAATAGCCAGGTCTCCTCCCTGCACAGTCCGAAGGCATTGAGGAGTCTCTTCCACCAAGCCTCCCAGGGCACCGGCAACCACAGGGACCACGTCAACCTGGGTGAGGGACCAAATCCTGGAAATCTCCCGCTTCAAGTCATAATATTTCGAGCGCTTTTCAGCCATTTTCTTATTGATGTTGTTCTCACCAGGAACGCTGATGTCTATAATGTAGGCGATGCGCTCCTTGTCATCAACAAGGAGCAGATCGGGCCTGTTTGCTGATAGTTTCAGGTCAGTTGGGACCGAATACTCCCAATAGAGGCGATACCGATCACTTTTGACCAATGCCTTAAGCTGGTGGTCGAAGCGTGAAGCACCAGTAGGTAGATCTCGTGCTCTACACATCTCGAAGTGCACATACTTTACTATCCGGTTATGTCGTTCAATGTAACTGGTCCGAGCAAGAACTCCAATAAGAGAGATGCAATTAATATTTTTTAACAATGGTGATTATATGAGGCTCGCAAGCGGCAGGCAGGTCGATTGTGTACACCAGAAACAACAGTGGTTCCAGGACTGAGCGCTGAGGCACTCCGGGCAGGATTGGGGAGGAAGGCTGATGTTGTGCCCTCAACTCGCACTCGCTGCCTACGCCCAATCAAGTACGCCGAGAGCCATCGCAGTGCTGATTCCTGGACACCGTAGTGCTTGAGTTTGGCCATCAGGCCCTGATGCCATACTCGGTCAAAGGCTTTGGCACAGAAAACACAGGATATACCTTCACTGGAAAACGTTTACTGGCCAAAGAAACCGTGTTACCACTCTCCTGCGTTGTGCAAAATCCGATTTCGTAAACAACTCAACAGCCTCATCTACTTCCCTACACCACCTCATGAAGGACCTAATTACAGCTACAAAACAACACAGCTAGTTGTTGAAACTTATCTGGACTCAGTATTTCGGGTGTTTCCTCTGAGGGGAGGGCCATGACTCATTGCGGCCTTGGCTCTCTCCTCCATGCATGGTCGAATGGCCGTGGCTGTGTCAGGCATAGTGGGTTGGTCTAAGACCATGATTGAGAAACAGAGGGTACCAGGTTCAAGTCCTGCTTGGAAGCGGAAGGAATTTTTCCAGCCGTGCTGCGACCCACAGTTATTTGGGAACTTGTGGCCTGGCACGAGGGTAACATGGTTGCAGCTAATGGGATTTCGGTCTTTGACCACTTGGTGGTGGGTCTGATCTACTCACCTCCCACCGTTTAGGCGCTGCATCTGCGCCTTTGATCCTAGAGGGTGGTGGCGTTCCCATGACGGATGCGGAAAACTGGCCTTCCAGCCGAGTCTCACGCGAACCGTGAAATTTTTTTTATAAGGTAACATCAGTTGAAAATACGGTGATACTGATAGTTCAAGAGTTGATCGCTAGGGAGTGTACAGAATGGGTTGGAGCTATCAGCACATTTGACCTACATTCTAGTTGGGGCTGCACTGGAGAGTAGAGCAAGAGCATTTTTTATTTTTTATTTTTTACAAAGACCACT